CCTCCGCAACCCGGACATCTTGCTCCTGGACGAGGCCACCAGCTCGCTGGACTCGGAGAGCGAGAAGCTCGTCCAGGCGGCGTTTGAGCGGGCGGGCAAGGGCCGGACGATGGTGGTTGTCGCACACCGGCTGGCGACGGTGCAGAACGCGGATGTCATCTTTGTGCTCGGGGAGGGCAAGTTGCTCGAGCAGGGGAGTCATGTTGAGTTGTTGAAGAAAAAGGGGGTGTATTGGCAGATGGTGAGTTTTGGCCTCCCTCTTTTCTTCTTTGCACTCTTCTTCTTCTTTCTTTCCCCTCCCAGGACTTGGCGTCCCTCATGCTTTGCTGCTTGTTTTTTTGGGCTGAACTTGCTAACGGGTGTTGCGAAAAACAGTGTCAGAGCCAGGCCTTGGATAGGTAACCTGTGTGTAAGAATACGGATATGCTTCTTGTGGATACATGACGGCATCTGGATACATGGGGAATTCTTTTCTCTCCTCTTCCTTCTTCTTCTTTTGATGTATTTCTCTTCGATTTATCCTTGTTCGATTTATCTTTCTTGGAGTATATGCTCTCTATACGAATAGTCTACGAAACGCACCTCTTGTCCAGGACATAGATACAACACATCTCTTCTCCAAATCAATGGCCCCCCTCGCTCTCAAGGCAAAAAGGGGCCTTCTCTTCTCTTACTCTTTCGCAAATCCTAGCCAAATCTATCGCTGGTGATGACATCGTGTCTTCCAGAGATCTAGAACCGAGTAAACCGCTAAATACCCTCTCGCTTACATCTTCCACAGCTCACTCAGCTCCCTCAAAATGTACTCCGAATGCGTCATGACAAAATCATGCGTCCCGGGGAGGACCTTCCACACGACATTCTGCTTGCCGCCCACAAGCGGAAGAGCCTCGCGCTCGTAGTCACCCGCATCGATGAGCTCGTCGTCGCGCGCCAGCAGAACCATGGTCGTGCCCGGCTTTCTGCGCGCGAGATGCCGCCAGCTGTCGTGCTGGTGCGTCAACGGCGCGTGGCGGATGCACGACATGAAGGAGGGGATGAAGCCGGCGTGGTTGAGGACCATCCAGCGGACGTACATGAGCACGTGCTGCTCCAGGGGAATAGCTGTGGTGGCGGCCAAAGTGCCATCGGTGTTATCCTGCTCCGCGGTGGTGCTGGTGGCTTCTGGGATGGCGACGTCGGCGACTGCGGCGGTTGGCGAGGAGGAGGACGGGGATGACGATCCCTTGGGCTTTCGAGCGGCCGCGATGGGCTTCTGCAGGCGGAAGCGGGTTAGGTACGCGAGGATGCGCTCCGGCACGAAGCCCGACTTGAAGACGAAGAGCGAGACGGCGCCAAAGTCCTCCGGGTTGATGAGGCCGGCGGGGGCGAGCAGGACGAGGGACGAGACGAGGTGGGGGAAGGCAGCGGCGAAGTGCACTGCGATGCCGCCGCCGAGGGAGTAGCCGACGAGGCGGATGGCGCCGGTGCCGGTCCAGGGGAGGGGGCTCGAGGCCAGGACGAGGAGGATCTGGGTGGCGTAGAGGCGCTCGTCGTGAGGGAGGTCGCCTACGCCGTCTGAGAAGCCTCGGCCGAAGAGGTCCTATAGACATACATTCAGTTGTTTGATTTACAGCTTGGAAGGGCGCGCATGAGGGAGGTTTGGTTGAAAGGGGGGTTGGGGGGAGCGGCTTACAAAGAGCATGACGCGGCATCCGCGGTCGACGAGGCCGTGGGCGATGCGGGAGAGCGTGATGCAGGGCGTGCTGATGCCATGGACGAGCAGGACCTTTTCACCGTCTTCGGGACCGAATTCGTAGACGCGGATTGATCCGTACTGAAAGATGACAAAGTCCGAACAAGTTTAGCTTTTCTTTTTCTCGTGAACAACACACCTCATCCCTCAGCTCATCTCATTCTTTTTTACCATTCACATTCCTTCCGATCTTTTCCCCCAGAGATGAAAAAGCAAAAAAGAACTCACCGGCGTCTCAACGTCCCTCGCCCCCGGAAACGCGTCCGGCCGATACACCAAGCCCTCGACCGTCTCCGCGGCCGGCAGCCGCCCCGGCAGCGCCGCCGCCGTCTTGAGCGGGTTCGGCAGCACCTTGCCCCAGCGCGGCCACAGCGCCGACCGGGCGAAGAGGAGCAGCGTCGCCGTGGCCACGGCCGTCGTGGTCACTGTTACGGCCATGGCCGTTGTCTGCGGCGCCGTCCAG